GTTTACCTGAATCCAGAGTATAGGCATTTTTCCTAGCCTTACTAATTGCGACTTGGTTCTATTTTGTTCGACTTTAATATCATAAAGCTCCGTATTGGGAGGAAGTGATAGATGAACACAAGGTGGGTGAGAAACCTTTTTTGTGCATGTGTTAGTTTATAAGCAAAGCCATCTGACTGTATACTTAAATCATTAGAGGTATGTTGCTATTGTTTTTTGTTCATTTAATTACCACCAAATATCTAACTCATAGATCAAATGTAGAATAAAGCACTTGAAACAGAGACTACGGTGAAACAACTGTTTTCAGAAAATACAAGTGGTAAAAGACGCCGAATTGCATCGGAGACGGAAACAAGAATCGCACCCCACATCCCAAAATAAGGCATTGATCACTGAATGTTTGTTCTAACCAATAAAAAATGTTGTATTAGTGATCGATATAAAGCACACGCGTTTTTGACTAAACAGCAATTCACAACCGACATGTCGGCCGTTATACAAACGTTAACCCAAAATTTGTCATCAATCCAGTATACTGCTATACTCATCTACGTTTTACCAAAGATTCAAATCGGGGGTTTTTTGTGTCTTATGCACAGGATGCGCGCTTCCCATTCTGACGTTTCAGTCCTATCATCCACTTAGACGTAATCATTTTCAAAGAACTATAGGAGAGAATGTATGCTCTAATTTACTTCCCTTATTTTGTTTGATGATAGAGTCGTAGAGTTTTGGTAGACCCAGTCTAGGCGTGTGCTGCCTTCAACACGGTGCCTGAAACTTTGAACATGAATGTTCATGCTTTAGGAACTGATGAAAAGTCTGCTACAGCTGACAAAGCACAGAAGCTTTTCGTCGAATCGAACCATCAAGAAAATACATCTTTTGCATCATTTTCTAAGCAAAAATTTGAAACAACGGACTTTATGAAAACGCCATTATCGAATTTGAATTGAGCATATGCTATTCAATTTTACTTACCTGCTGATCGGAATGGGGTACGTGTACATTTTGTGCTCAATCGTAACTATAATGAGCAGTAGCATCAACTTTACAATACGTGTATCAGCTTTACCTCTCGCCATAAATGCTCATTTATTAATTTTCTTTGTTCTTCTGCTAATTTTGTATTTTGTTGTAATAAATTCTCTCTAATTTAGCCTTAACTAAATGTTCTTTGTATTTTTTCAGTGAATCTCTTGCTTTTTTTTTCCTTACGATAAAGGCTGGTGGAATTAGCTTTCTGAACAATGTAACGGACTATGCTGTCGTACCGGAGAAAAAGATTCTTGACGACGACGACAATCGATATTGATAACTCGCTTTATGAACGTATTTAAACGACTGTCAGTCTGACCATGCGAGACATGATTTTGCAGCTTTCTTAATATATTACAAAATTAGATGGACATGCCGAATTTTATCTTTATGTACGAGGCGATTACCACTTGAACAAAAATTGTTTCTTCTTCACATTTTATACTAACATATCCATTGTAAAGTGCGTACTCAATTGAACTATACCTCAATTCTGTAACAAGTTTAGAATACCAGTGCTGTAATTTGCCACAATTTATTTTGTCTCTTGCATGTGTGCTGTTTCCTCTTTTTTTTATGCATCACATTGGGTCATCCAGTTTTATGTTGAATAACCTCTTGCACTAATAATATTAACCGATTACAATACAACAAAGTTTTTGCATCATAATTTGCTTACTTCACATGTCTTTCAACTAAAGCTGATATATTTTGCAAAGCCATTCCCATTCAGTCAAATTATGCGACTGCATAGCTAAATTTGGAGAAAGCTTTCAATTGGGTTAAAAGGCCTGTCCCAAAATCTTTTTGCACTAAAAATTTTTATTCGAATCTACATATCCTTTCGCAACGTAAAACAGGTAATGTAATCGAATAGATTGTGAAAAGAGAGCGGGTAATATAATTTATGAGGGTTGGCGCAGTGATGTTCACAGTAGGGATTGCGAATAAGGAGGCAATCATTTCATCGACAATCATTTCACTGACAATCATTTCACCGACAATCATTTCACCGACAAATATTCACCAACACTATTTCGAAGTTATCCTTTTTTGGTAGTTGATTGTCGATGAAATAATACGGACCCGTGAATAAGCTGGTTATTACTCATAAGTATTGCGTTATTATTTTTCCTGCCATGCTGATCTAAATATCAAAATTAATTTGTCATTAGTATTAGGGATTTGTAATCATTAAGTATTGTATAATGTAATTCTAATTTATTAATGAATTTGGAGTTGATGCCTCAAATCTACTGCACAATTTATAACAACATTTTGGTTACATTAACTTTAGGTTATTTCACATATCACTCAAATCATAATGCAATGCAAACTTAAATTTGCCATGCGGATATAATAACAGGTTCATCACTTATTTTTACATATGTATCAGGTATCTGTAAACGCGATTGGGTAGGGAATTAGGGAATAATAAGTAAAAATAATATAACTATATATTTTCGCTGCATTCTAATGAACGAAAGGTTCCAAGGCCCAAAACAAGGCCACTAATACATATTCGATTTGGTATTGGCCAGCAGATTATTCAGTTTGAACGAACGCTTCGTGATAGAGATAAGCTAACAATCATATTATTATATTCCAATGCTGCAGGTACTGTACTTGATTCGCTGCATGCAGTTCCAAGAATCATTCTCTTTCGCGGACCTCACCTCATACAGCAGTTGCGCGACCTCTCTAGTAATGTCAAGAATTCAGTATAGCAATACGGATGATGATGTCAAACTTCAAAAGCTTGCTAACTTTCATTTACTGCTTATCACTTGAAGCACGCCGTGTAAGATGACATCATATGGTTGTAGTGATATTTGAATGATACCTTAATTAGCATAGATACTGTTATTTACGGTATAGATGATGATAAAGTGGGAGGGGAGCGGGTCAATAAAATGCCAAGAGAAAAGAAAAAGAAGTTGTTGTGTTCATTCTACAATAAACTATTGTCAACGGGAGTACATTAGATTGGATATTTTTTGAGTTTGGAAAGCTATCTATTTTTAGAAGTTAATGATACTATTTATGTTAACTTGCTACTTAATGTAAAGCAAAAGCTTTTTTATAGATTATCGTTTGTTCAATCAGTGTTTGCCTATTACTATTACTATTACTATGCTACCATCTCTGGGTTCTCTATGTTCCAGTTCTTGTAAATACACTATTCTTAATTCTGATCACCAAGATTATAATACCAACAAAACAATCCGACGACAACAACATAATAAACAACATAATAAACAGCATAAACAAGAAGACTAATTTGTCAATAGCTGGTTTTTTTTAGGTTTGTGTGTTTGCATTCAAACACTATTATGTTTGTTTCCGTTCCGCTAAAAAAAAAAAGTCGGCATCCCAAAAGAGTACGTTACATTACATTGCATACAAGCCATCTCAGATATTTCTCTTGCTATCTATCGAACTACAACTTGTGTTACTAGCGTCGTTTACATTTATGACCAAATACCTGTTTATCGGAGATATCTTGATGAATGGCCGAATAAAAATTAGGTTTGAAGGGGAAGGGAATACAGAACAAACAGTGAACGTGTACATCTGATACCGATAATAAATCCCGTGACAGAAATTAGCTCGTTAATGATTGCTTGGCAGTCCTGCACTCTATCTGAGTGACATCTTCCATCTGCATGTTCTATTTATAACTCTTCTTACCGTGTTCCGTTTGACTGATTGACAGCTGATTATTCGTTAGAATGTAGATAAGTAGATAAGTAGTAAGTAGTATGTGGTGTAAGTAGTGTGTATGTATGTAGTGTGTGTGTAAGTAGTGTGTGTGTAAGTAGTGATGTGTAAGTAGTGTGTATGTATGTAGTGTGTGTGTAAGTAGTGTGTGTGTAAGTAGTGATGTGTATGTAGTGTGTATGTATGTAGTGTGTGTGTATGTAGTGTGTGTGTATGTAGTGATGTGTATGTAGTGATGTGTATGTAGTGATGTGTATGTAGTGTGTGGTGTACTACTTAGTATAGTATGTATGTGGTTATTCTACTTAGTATGTGGTTATTCTACTTAGTATGTGGTGTACTATCTTAGTATGTGGTGGTACTATCTTAGTATGTGGTGTACTATCTTAGTATGTGGTGTACTATCTTAGTATGTGGTGTACTATCTTAGTATGTATGTTATCTTACTTATTACGTATATGTATTGCACAGTATACTGATACTGTTATTATTACACCTATTACACCTATCACTGTTATTATTGTTGTTGTTACGTTACGTTACGTTACAGTTTGTATTTTATATGACATTTTATGACATTATCGTAATATTATATACTTTTACATTACCTTTAATGTTATTCATTACATGAATGTTTCATGTCACACGTAAACTGCCTTTATTTGAATTTATTACGGATTAGCTCAAGCCATTATACTGCACATATTAATCGTACCTTATTCGCTATATATATGGCTATATTTATATATATATATACACAACCCACTTCCCCCTCCACAAAAACGAAAAATGCTTTAGAGACACAAAGCTACTTTATTATTCAAACACCTTTTCTTTGGTAAGTACATTGAAGAGATTTCATAAAGTCAAACCATGAGAACGAGAGAGACACGAAGAGACCGGAAACACCATGTCGTGTTTGTCGTAGAAACAAATCTGACATATACAATCTATTCCCTTCGTCTCTCTTCTCTTTAATCTCCCCCCGCAATCTTTACCCCCCTCATCACCACATTGTTGGGTGCGATCAGTCAGCATTTCAACCATTCTTCCTTTAAAAGCTTTTGCTCTCACCAAATGCTTGACTTGTACTTTGTCAATCATTCATGTAGATAAATGTACACTTTGCCCCCACCCCCAATGAATCTTGCATTCTCCATCTCCTTTCCCCTTTGCTACTCAATGTCTAACTGTTCTTCTTCTTCTTTCTTTCTTTCCTATCACTAGTACCCATCCAAATGCCTCCAAATCTACCAGAAGAATTCCCCACAACTAGCGCAACAGCAACAGCGACATCGGCTTACACTGCAGTAGATTCCTCATACGCACCAAAGAGAAAGCCTTCACGCCGGGATTATAATTATAATAAACAAGACTCGAATCATTCTAATAATACCCATCAAGAAACAAATAATAATAGAAAAAAGGGTACAAACGATACAATTGCTAAAGATATTACCTTTAATAATACATCAAACACAAACAACTCGAATTCCAACCACACTGCCGCAGAGTTCGGCAATCTCCAACAATTATCACAACCAATGGCAACTGCTGCTATCACTCCAACACCCTTGACCTATTCGCCTAGACACAGGTCGAACACCATCAACAAATATGGTGGAACTGTATTTGGAGCTGCCATACAGCACGAGAAAACCGGAAATGGAAATTCAAACTCTGTGACAACCGAAGCAATTGCACCAAAAGCGGCATCCGGAATAGCATTACCAAACATACCGACTACCATATCCACACTATCACATCTACAGCAGCAGCAACAACAACAGCAGCAGCAGCAACAACAACAACAACAACAACAACAACAACAACAGAAACAACAACAACAACAACAGAAACAGAAACAACTTCCTCCAACTCTTCCTCCACCTTCATCTCCCAATTCCTCATCATTAAAATCAAATCGAGATTTATTCGTCACAGTAGAAGACGATTCAACTCCCGATATAACTCGATCCTTCATCTCGTTTCCGGATACGTCAATACCAAAGCCTACGCTCAACATGTCATCACCCGGTTTATTGGTCCTTCTTACCCAAGCGATTGCTTTGTTCTCGTCCTCTGTGAATACTTCTCAACTGTCCTTGTTCTTCTCGTCTATTACTTCTCAACTGTCCATGTTCTTCTCGTCCTTTACATCTTTCCAATCCATCAAAACCATAAGATTTATTTTTCTCTGTATACTCTGGTATGCCTCATCGGCAATAACAAACAACATTGGTAAATCCCTTTTGAACGCATTCCCTTACCCGGTCACGCTCACATGGATACAATTTGGCTTTGTTTCGTTGTATTGTCATATACTCGGTCGGCTAGGATTCACAAGGATTCGAAGGTTGACAGTGGAAATTCTTAGAGAGACTGTGCCGTTGAGTGGGTTTCAGATTGTCGGTCATGGGTTCTCGAGCGTAGCTACTAGCCAAGTACCCGTTAGTTTTGTGCATACGATCAAGGTAAGAAGGGCGAAAAATAGATTGGTATAGTAATGTGTATATACGTAAAATACACATTTGTATATAGCATTGCTATGAAATTATACTTATCCCTTCCTTTTATTTTGTTCTCTAGGCTCTGTCGCCCCTCTTTACAGTCACCTTTTATAGAATCATTTTCGCTGTAACATACTCATCAGCCGTATACTTTTCTCTCATCCCTCTTACCATCGGTGTCATGCTTGCGTGCTCTGTGACGACATCGTCCTCTTTCATTGGCTTTCTCTTTGCAATGGGATCGACAGTAATTTTTGTTGCTCAGAACGTGTTTTCCAAGACGCTGCTGCGGAGACCGGATATGCCTGGAGAAGAGAAATTGGACAAGCTGAATTTGATGTTCTTTTCAAGTACCATAGCTTTCGTACTGATGGTACCAATATGGGCTTGGTATGAAGGCTTTGCATTTGGTGGATTTCTTCTTTGGGGTGGGGATCTGGGTGTAAGCGCGAGCGTTTCTGCCTGGACAATACTCTTTTACTTTTTTTTGAACGGTACAACTCACTTTTTCCAAAACACGCTCGCATTCAATATTCTTGAGATTACTTCGCCAGTTACATATTCGATCGCTTCATTGGTTAAGCGAATTTTTGTTATCACTGCGAGTATAATATGGTTTGGACAAAAGACCACATTTATTCAAGGAGTTGGAATCCTTTTAACATTTATTGGGTTGCATTTATATAACCGAGCAAAAGGGGATGTAGACAAAAAGGAGAGAAAGGTTGCAAACGGAGGGGAGAGGTTACCGATGACGAGAATGAGATCGAAATCGATCAAATAGAAAGACAAAGGGCTCCGTTGGATTACTTTTTATTTTGTTTGTTTTCTCTTTTCTAATTTACTTACACGACTTTTCAAGTGTGACTGTCAAGACTGTTATCGCTTTTTTTTTATATTTTACTTGCGTTCTATAGTTGCTGTGTTTTTATACGACTTTTTTTGGGGAAGTATTTAGTATTTTAATGTATGAACATTGGTCGTCGGACTGTATGAAAAAAGGAAAAGAAAAATGTATACATATATATACATATATATATATTTACAAAAAGTAATAACACAGAATAGAGGAATAAAGAGAAGTGCCAATACAGCCGCTTCCCCTCCTCTTGCGCATTAGAGTTAGATCTATCTATCTGCTATGTCTGTTGAAATTTTTCGTCATCTCGATATTCAGAATGCGTGGAACCTATGCATGGAACTTTCTACCACATTATCATAGGGGCATGGGAAATTGAGGTGTTCATCTACTCTTTTAGCACAAGATTCACATATTACGTTTCGCCATTGGTGACGGAATGCCTTTGTTTCGCTGTTAGAGGATGTAAGGTTTCTACCATTAATACAATCGATCGACGGTTAAGTATTTAATTAATTTCCCTACATTCATTTTACCCTTTTCGGTAACGTTGGCAAATTACTCATGCTTATTACGTACGCTAAATTTTACCACGTTTCAGTCTGATTAACTTAAATGTTTTCTCGTATTAATAATTGTTCGTTTTGGAGTTTTCTTTCATTCGCCGCATTAATTTGAACGTTTCCAATTTTGGAAAAGAAACCGACAATCGCACGTTCTGAACATACGTACGATGACGATGAACTGAATTAACGCCATTTCATTTTGGAAAGCTAGTGGGCATCATGTTTTGATATGGGAAGCAAGCTTGTATTCTGAAGCGCGATTTTCACCAATACTGGTACTTTAAGGTCAAGAATTAAAGATTTGTCCTGCAACAATATAAAGACGATTACAATCTTTGAATTTTGAAATCTCTCTTGTCTGTCTAAGTTGAGGTTATACAATTTTACATCACCACAACTATCACCAAGTTGTCCGAATAATAATTTATGCAATCTGAAAGAAATCGGTAGTTCGATTATACGACTTTTGGATTCGATTTCAAATATTGTAATCAGGACTAACATTTGGTTTATGCTATTCCATGCACATGAACTGGTATTTGGCTTGCTTACTGCGTTAATCAGAGCTTTGATGTCACTCAGTAGAACATTGGCTAGTTGCGTGTAAACTTGTGTCTTAAAGTCTCGTTTTATTACCATCATGTTGCAAAGACTACAACGGTAATTTTACATGCAAAAAAAGGGCAGGCACATGACAATTATATGCATCAGCCTTAATGCCTGTTGGCTAAAATTTTCGTGGCGCTATTAACAAGCAGAATAATGCTCAATCATTTATTCAATAGATAATGATATAACAATCTCTCGAATGTTTATAGGATACAAGTCAATAACAATAACAATACGTAGCGCGCTACGCGAATAACAATACAGTAAGTTATCTAACGCAATTTTTTGAGTATGCATGTTATTGTAAATTTCATTTCGAGAGATTCTACAAACTAGTTTGGCGTAAACAATAATCCTTCTCACCCGCACAATTGAATCAATCTGCCAAATTTAATCGAAAAGCCAGCCTTGAATTACGTTGAGAATTCCAGGATCTCTTCGTTACGCGTTCGTAATATAAGGTTTTATTTACAACATATAGTATTAGCCGTCTTTGTACATAGAAAACGAGTGCCGAGATGATTATTGTTTCGGGTACCAAATTCCTAGATCGAGAAATGGCTGATTTATTGATGCCGATCCTCCTTACTATAATAGTCACGGAGACATCAGAAATCGCCTTTTTCACTTTGTCTGCATGCCCCCACATTATTAATCACGTGTCTAATTAGATGGTCATCCAACAATGATGCATTATTATAGTTTGAGAATATATTTGGAAATTTATTTGCTGGGATGATCTCGTGTTGTAAAGAACCTGGCTTACAACTACAAACATTCTATATCGAAATGCACAAACGAACGAGTTCCAGGAAAGACTTTGTTATCGGAACGCATTTTATTTTGACATGTCATAAGTGACGCTAATCCCATCCTGAAATGGTAATTTCATGTGGTGACTGATTTCGTATTACTTTCAAATGTATGACAAAACTCACAAAAACGTGTTTTTTCCAACAAAAAATATCCATCTTCTTCTTGACATGTCAAAAGATACAAGAATACCTCCTACACCCTCGAACAATCCTGGTCTACTTCGTCAAGGGCATGGAGCAAAAGCGGCTTTACGAGAGAAATTTGTCGAGATATACGAATCTTTTTTCAAAGTACAAATCGAGATTAATGCTGATTCTACAACATATAAACTTGGTTCTAATGTCATATAACCATTGTCATAGGGAATTGATCCAGCCGCAGGGAATCCTTATTTCTGGAATGAATTATTCCTTCTCAAAGTGAATGCACCTTATCTGAGTCAGACGTTGGCAGGAATGTCGGAAGAGAAGTTACTAAAAATCAAGGTACTCGGCAGACCCAGTCCGGGCGTAATTCGTAACTGTATGCTAACTCGATTTTTTTTTCATTCTCGCTCTTGTCTCTAGCATAATATCAATCTGATATTGGTCAAGTCGATGGAAGTTATGAGTCAAGACAATAACAGTCTAAGGATAATGAATGCTATCGAGGTAAGAGTTATGACGAGAATGTATTGTTTCTGTTCTATTCGCTTGCCTATCTAATCAGCATTGCGATCTATGCATATCCTTTATGCGACTAGACGCTTTGTGTGTTCTTGCAAGGAATATTCTCAAAGAGATTCAATAATTTTAGCTTTGAAGTCATAAACCTGCTCACCGGACTGGACAAAGCGAACGACGTATTTCCGGTTGGTTATTAAATGGATATTTACGATTGCCACTTAACTATATTAACAGTCAATCAATTTGTGATTGTCAGCGATTGATAGAGACGATAGAACGGCTGATACGAGGTGGGGAAACAGGTAAATACGGTTCGAAATAGTGCTTTTCAAGATGTAGCAACGAAATTATGCTTATGCTACCCATTCGTAATTTACTGCATACATTGATTACTCTTATTTAGTTCAGATCAGACATCTTGCTCTTCAACTGGCTGTAGTCATCATCTGTGGTAATAGCAACATCAATCAAAACAGCATAAACGAATATTTTATTCAGCGAGACATGTTTGATGCCTTGATTGAGGTATGAGCGTTCACAGTTGTTACTTTTGCGCAGAAACGCGCTATATGTAAAATAAACTTTTTCTTTCTCTGTTTCATAGTTCATCGTTCATCCGGAAACGATACATCTAGCATATGATGCAATCACCTTGCTTGGCATATTAGCAAATTTCAAAAAGCACGAGTCAACGAATCCATATTTGGTGAAATTAAGCACATTAAAAGACAACAACGTTTTGCAGGTTAGAGATACCAGAACAAGAATGAACATATTGCCTTTACCCACAAAATTGACGATTAACTGGTTTACAGAAAATAATGGAAGTCCTTGGATCGACGTGCGTCAGATGTAGGAGGTTGGTATCAAAGGTATCAAAGATATCATCTGGTAATTCATTGTCATTTTTTACTGTTATAACCCGATATCTCATAGTCAGTATACAGATATAATGGCCGATGATGATGCTTCGAAGGTGTCGGTTTCTAATATGTTATCCTATGTTGGTGGACTTTTATATTGGAATGGGCCAAAGCCCGGCGACGTTCAATCCGATATTGAGGGTCTTTTTGCAAAATTGTATGTATGCTCGATAATAGATATCAATACACTCGAATTGTATGCTAATGGGATATGTTATTTACCCGCAGACCGTCACCTAATGCTGCGATATTGTTGACATTTTACGACTTGATAAACACAAACAAACAATTTATATCTATTATTGCTCAGTCCATTACCCCGCGCGACAGTCCGTCTACCGAGATATCAGACAATAAGGGTAAGAATTTGATCAGAACAAGTTGTAGCAGTAGCAATGGCAGCAATGTCGTGGCTTACAGGCTGCTCTCATTTCACTGCGTTAAACAATGTCAATTGTATTCATGTAATAATATGTCTTTGGTTTGTGATTAGATCTACAATGCATGCGAGACTTCCTCTCATTCACTTCATATATGCTTCAACACAATAGATCTCCACGTACTGCAATTTACACCAAATTATGCTTATTTACTATCTTAATATTAATCGAGAATTCTATTGTGTGCAGCTACTTTTGTGATGAGAGTAGAAACGTCGAAATAAAACTATGTCGACAGGTGAGAAATAAAAATTAATATTAACTAATTTTCTTGGAAAAACAATCTTGTATATGTATATATTAATATGTCATTGTTCAAAATCTCTTTGTTATGTTCCAGAGGCCTCCTCAATTACCTTATGTAAATGGACCTCGACCTGTCGCTTCAGCAATCATAGATATAATGGTCTCATTTGTTACTCACAACATGCGTAGAAAGCTCCAATTTGACCTGTACAGGTAAGACCTTCCATACATTACGCAGACATTCTGTCATGTCCGACTAACAATTCTCTTATCGTACCCCCTCCCTCAGCTATGCATTATCTATCATCCATCGTATTATTGCATTCCTGAATAAGTATCAGATTAGACTAGGTAAGAAGTGCGATTGTTTATTGCATATTACTGACCGTACATCCGCCTTGTCAATAATGACCAATTGTCTTTTCTCTTCTCAGCATATCATTGGGTTGAATTATGGCGTGCCCTGATTTCATTGACGAAATTCATCGTGACAAACATTAATCAAATGGAAAATAGAGATGACATTGAAGATGTATTGCACTCTATTATTAGAATACTCAATATGGGCATTACTTATGGCGATACATTCCTTCCTGACCCGCCTAGTTACGACAACTTGTTCTATGAAATAGTTAGATCTGCTGAAGTATTCGAACAAGTTACTCTAAAAGGTAAGAAATATGATGTTTATTGTCTAGATTGTTTAACTTATGGTATTTCTTTCTAAGCATTGATAGAATCGCACGTTTTTTCGAGAATTTTATACAGAAATAATAATAGATTACGCCGAGTGTCTATAATACTTATATTAACACCTGTTACGTTCTATCTGCGAAAATAGTGAATTTACAAAGCTCTGAAAGATCAACTATGGATTCTAAACCACAAAGATCGGCTTTGGATGCTAAATCAATTGGAATATCTAATATTAAGAGTATATGCGCTCACTTTTCATCCAAGATTGATGAATGGAAAGAATCGCGCCGAGCCCAATCAATAAGTCCCTCGCAGGTGAGACGAGCAGATGACAAGCACATACATTGCATTAGTAGAGATTTATAATATTAATCCTTTCTGTTTTATATATAACGATGCGATCAATTTGTGCAACAGGTATTAGGTATGCTACCGAAATAATGTCATCGAATTCTCTTGAATTCTCATTGTACATGAAATAATCAATGTCTTCTATCAATTAGTTATTATAAAAGCAAACTACGAGACACTCACGTTACCAACTCCCGGCAAGTTGGGCTATTACACTCCATACACGGAAATACCGCATCAGGTTGCGTTTCTACGACAAGCGTTGAGAACCGTAGTCGACGATTTCAAGGGCGGTGAAATAATAACATGATCATTAATTTAAGCGTCCAGTCTGCATTTAATAATTAGATTGCTAATAATGTCGACTAGTTAATAATATCGGTTAACGATTATAAAAGAATTTCGCGTCTAGATGAACTGTCGTAAAGACTGTGATTCTAATTGCTTTCATTTTCCCATGCAGAATCTGTTATTTAGTTAGTAACAATCATATGTGTTTGCCAGTATACTGCTTTAAATTAAATTTGTTACGATAATTTTATTAACTTCAGCTCATAATGCAAATCTCCTTCCTCATACATATTAATATGCTTAATTTGTTTGAATGCATATATTTTCGCATTATTGAAGAAATTATACCAGTTCAAATCAACCGTGATTTCAACATTAAAGCATGTTTTTGGTCGACGCTATAGGAAAAAAAAATAAAACTATGAGCGAAGCAAAAAAAGGGAGGAGGGATCTTAAAAATGTCCATTTTTAATATTCAATCTATTTATCTCTTTATGCCCATCTACCGATAAGTGACATAACCAAAACCCCAAGCAGCAACAAAACGAATGCCGAAACTTGATACGTTTTAGGCTGTTTGCGGAAACTGGGGTCAATAACAAAATCGGATGCTATCAGCTGGACCAAAGAGGTGTATATGAGGATGCCAGCTGAGAGGGAATCGAGGATGCCTTGAACCAGTAGGGAAGTTGGAGAATTGGCATCATAGCTATAACGAACACCAATGCCAATTGCAATGCCAAGCGGCGTTGTTGCGCCATATAGGAGGGACAAAATCCACGGTTTGATAGTTTTGACATCATGGAACTCGGCAATACGTGAACCTAGACCCAGACCTTCGAACATCTTTTGGGAGGGGGGTAAAATTACAAATTTGATCATGTTCTTGATGCAATATATAAAAATTTGGATAAACAAACGCGTCCTAATTATGCTTACCTGATGGAATATAAGTGCAATCCAAAGACTGGTGAATTCGGAGCCAGTGGCAACACTAAGATCCATGCCAATAATAACAGAATGGAAGCAGATACCAGCTTCCAAAATGATAATACCTAGAGATTGAGCACTCGTGGACAAGACAGCGAGCTCGCCACTACAATGGCCAAATTGATCATCTTCGGAGCTGGAGGCAACCTCAGCCGATTTAGGAAGAGAGTGAGAATGCTCTTCCTCGAGACTGCTAGCCATTGTCGTGGCGATATATTCTACAAAGAATATTCCCAACGCCGCGGCCATTGCAAACGCACTAGGAAATGAAGGATAGGTCTCCCACCAAATTGAATCCAAACAGTAACTGTTGAGTCTGGAAAACGCGGATGGTAATATCTAAGAACAAACGTCCGTCATTCAGTCGCGAATTAGTAGTAATTGTAAAATAAGTAAAATATGTAATAAAGATAATATTATACATACATGAATAAATGCAGTTGCCAAAATAATTCCGGTACCAAAGTGCTTGGTAGCTGTTTTCAAGCAAGGGGAAAAGACATTAGTAAACTTGATTGATAGAAAGTTGCATTGGGGCAAGCAGATCATGCTGAGAACTTGATAGGTTGCACAGTTATGAATGTTCTCTTTTTTGTTTGAACGGGTAATTACTTGGGTTTTTTTTTCTTTTTTTGCATAGACTTTTTTAGTGTGTCCGTATACATTCCATTTGGTAAACTCCTTTGTTCTTTGTGGGTATTAGATACGTACCAAAGAATGCCAATTTAGGAATACGCAATGTAGGATAACGCTTAGCGATAACCGGAATGAAAGACCCTAATGAACCCGTAAACAAGATAACGAAGAGAGAAGCAAGGTGAAGACCCAAGGCATATTCAGCCGAATCAAACTCTTGTTTTTTACAGTCCTCGCGGATTAGTGACAAAAGTTCATCAGAAATTCCAAAAACGGGGGAGATGAAACTGAAAAGAAATAATATGGATAGAAGCATAAGTGTAATTTTAGAGAATGTATTCATTATGGCTTATGAGGAAAGAGCTTCTCAAGGAACAGAATACGAAAACTATAATTGGATCCTTTCGTGAACAAAAGGATAAGGGTTGAGACAAAATGACAGAATATGTATGTTATATAGGTGAGATGTGTGGAACATGTTTAGTACAAAAAAGAATATGTTGATTGATGACTGGTGAGGTACAGTTGGGATTATGTAACCATGAAGGTACACCGTGTAACGATAAATAGATCGTAATGTTAATTAGGGGACGATCGTAACCAAGGAGGTCGCCTGAATCAAGCGCAATAATAACTGATCAAAGATAATGCCTGAATGCGAGTATGAGGGTCTAAAAAATGCGGACCATTGCAACTGCTTCCTATGAAGAGTACATCTATCCGTCTACATAACAGTTGTACGTTGAAGCAGATTTTTGATAATCCGACAATGGCGCATTTACTTTTAAGTTTCGCCCCAATGTAACACTATGTTACCTGAATAAGAAAACAGGAGCCGATCATACAGTACTAAATGATAAGATACTCTAACATTGCAAGAATAGAACCGTTACGTTGAACTCATCAATCATATCGATAACGGAAGGCTGATGAACCGAAAACAGGACCTGCCAATGTCGAAAAATCGACATATTTTGATAATCATGTAAAAGTTTACCAACCTTTGAAAGTTAAAAGTTTTCGTTCATTAACTAATTTTGATTTATCTATCCGCCATCGTGACGGTGCATAGGAAAGCCTTGTTATAGTAAGTCTGTAACCGAATATTGCTTTGTTTATGATGTATAAATTATTTGCGTGGGTAAATATTAGTTCCTCAGTTTTTTTCTGAATGGATACACTTGTATCGTGTGCGTACTGTGGTTCACAACTGAAAAGAAATTTATAAACAATAACAAACATAATGATGCGCTGGGATTTGCTCTAAATTGTTACAATAATTGACGTCATTATTACTTACGACATTTCATAAGATTGGTTTCATTCCCTGATTATTGAAATAGCCCACTATGTCTTTTATATGCTTATTGATGATATTGTGTGACGGTTGGCTGCAAAGATATCGATATCGGGCGTATTAGTACTACAATCTTCAGGGGTTCGGCATTGTTGGATATTAATTAGTACTGTAGATTTGCATATCTTATTTGTCAAGCGATAATCAGTTATCGATGCCGATCGAACAGGCCACAATTCAGGATCTCAACACTTGACATTATGGGGTGCTGTAATGTAATGTAGTGTAATGTAGTGAATTGACGCAGAAGAGATATGTGTGTGAAGCGATACTAGAACAATAAAGCTTCTGACAATGTGTGCAAGTATAAAAATACCTTGTCAGTTGGGGAAGCATTGTGATATGGCAGATTATATTATTCAATAATTGTATAATCTCTAGATCTATTGATAAAGTAGCTTTAATAATTAGTCAACGTTTTACTCTAACTTTTACATTCTATTAAAAAGCTGCTCTTGATTATTCCAATTGGAGAAATATTGAGGTTATCCCTTTATTATTACAAAGACCTCCTCAGTAAGACCAAAGTTGCCATAGAAGTATGGAAGAAAGGATGCACTCCATTGAATGGTGGTCCCTGGGGATGTGAATTATGACCTATCCAAAAGAAAATTTTCCGTTTCGGCTTTACTTAAGCTCGGGGAAAGTGTCGGGAAAAAGTATTGGAATTATATACTAGAATAATTATGTGACATCATAATAATAAACATGTCGCAGAGATTCGGGACATCATGTGACAATCAGACGCACATGAGTCTCGAACTGTATGTATCTATAATCTTTTTAAATTATTACAGGGTTTCTTATATACTGCACTTGCGCGTCTCTAGTTATTTATAATTATTGCATTGCCACCACAATTAATTCGTATAATTCCACGTCCCGCGAGTCGTAATTATCATTTCCCATCCCGATAGGTAAATTCTGTATTCACGAGGCAACCTTGTGATAATAAGAACTACGATCATTTGAAGCGCTTTTTCAAATTGTGTCTTCTGAATAATATTAAAAGTTTTTTTTTTTTTGAAAGTGTTTGGTGTAATAATACATTAGATAATAATACGGAGATACTTTCATATATTCTATTCGAATTTTACTTATACCTACAACTTTCTCCTCGTCATGTTTTTTATTAGCAAGAATATTTTTTATTTCAGTTTCGAACAACTCGATGTGGCCATAGTAACTTTGTTCATACACTACCTGGACAAAAGTCTTGCACATCGAAAAATTTTAATTGCACAAATTTACACATAATAATTACATTTCAAATTTTAATATAATGTTGTTTTGGTTTTGAACAAAACGCGTGTATAATTTTTGTGTTGTTTGTAGACATACATCAGAATATATAAATAAATCCATAAGCACTTCTAACCTTTATTGATCTTAAAATGTATCCCTTGACTGAAAGTCAACAAGGTAAAATCATTGGCCTTACAAAAATAAGCAATCTGTACCAAAATTAGTAAAATGCTTAAAGTTCATAGAACGACTGTACTCATACTATTGAAAAGTACCTTAATGGAGATGTCCTTGCTACTCGTCCTGATCCGAAATTATTGACCAACAGAAGTCAAAAAATTCTGTTAAAAACAATAATAAGAAATCAGCTGAAGAAATTAAAAAAATTTTTTTGTTGAAAAAACTAATATTAAAGTTTCCACAAAAACTATTAGAAGAAATTAATTGCGGAGGATATTGGTTTCAAGATGATAATGCTACAGTACATATTGCTGAAGATGTTAAAAAATGGATTTTAATGAACAAAATCAAAGCCTTGCCAGATTGGCCAAGTCAGTCTCCTGACTTGAATCCAATTGAGCATTTATGAGCGGAACTGGAAAGAAGAATAAGAAGCAGACCACAGGAATAACAAAAGTTGCAGAATTAGAGACAGCATTACAGAAAAAATTTCACAAAGTCAAGTAATGGCCTTGATAGAAAGTGTGCCACGGAGAATAGAAGCTGTTATTACAAACAATGGATGGCCAGCAAAATATTGATTTATATATAGTTACTTCATTGGTTAAGTATAATCTGTTAAAATTTGAAATGTAATTATTATGTGTAATTTGGTGTAATTAAAATTTTTTGATGTGCAAGACTTTTGTCCAGGTAGTGTATGTTCAAGATTTGCTCTCACTATCCTTCTATATTCGCACAATTTTCACTCCGACTTTGTGCCTTTATTAGCAGGAATACAAATATAAAAAACAAACAAACCATTAATTCCGGTAATCGTTAATGGTGGTTTCAAGCTAAGTAAAAAGGTTCTAGGACGTTTTGAGAAAATTTTTTTTAGACAATATTAATATAGAAACAAAGCTTATTTCTATAATAAAACAAGTCCTAAATTTTTTGCGTCTTCTAGGACACCTAGAACGAGTATTAAAGTTGCGTGCTACAGAAGTGGCCTGCTCTGCAAAAAAAAAAAATATTTAAAACGTTTGTCAAGCGCTGAAGAAGGATACTATAGTAATAGAGCTAATGAAATATTAAACCACAATTGTCTCCAGTTTACTGTATCCTGGTCATATTCAATTTCTAATTAATCTTATTTACTATGGCCTGGAAATAGAGTTGATAATCTCAATTCAGCTAATTTATTCCATTTTGGGTGTAAAGCTAATAGTAAGATACCATTCAGTATTAAGCGTAAACGAGCAGGTAGCTGGTAATTTGTTCCTAATCGTCTACAATTATGAACAAAATACATACTATTACTATACTAGACTATTTGGGTAATTTTCAATTTGGACACATTACCCGTATGTTGTAGGAAAGATTAGTTTTTATGAACAAAATACATACACTAAACTATTTGGGTAATTTTCAATTTGGACGCATTACCCGTATGTTGTAGGAAAGATTAGTTTCTATTATCCATTCGCATAATCATTCTCGAAGAGCCTAATAAAGTCTCACTGCCAACGATTATTAGATAATTAGTAATAAGATTAGTTACCACCTGCCGACTTATTTCGTAATATAACATAAATTCGAGAATGGCGATATACATTAGGCAGACGCGATAAGTCGGTCCCGGATGGCTGGCCTGGTAGACCGACTTATCGAATCCACGTGACTAATTTAGTAAAAATTTACTTTTAAATCGTTAGATGGAAAACCCATCATTCTAAATAAATATCCATGCTCGTTTGTATCAAAAAATCCGTTCGCTTCTTCTCAATTTCCCATTTTAAGTCTCTTAACCCTGAAATCAATAAACTGTTTACTTTTATATCGTTATTCTGCTGCAAATAGGTATAAATTTTGAATGCTTTCTAAAGCCACTTTGATAGATACCATAAAAACCTCATTTTTGTCATCTTCTCCTTCATCCTCAGGAGCTTCTTGGACGGCTGCAATAATTTTATTATCATCAGGAATATCGTTTGTTTCTAAAGTACTGTCAATTTCAATATAGTCTTTTGCTCTCATGACGGAATAATCAACGACCATTTTATCAATAAGCGATTGTACGATTTCATCTTCTATCTCAATGTCATTATCTGGTGGTTCATAGTTAATGACTTCCGACCCGTCAGGCAGAATACCAGTTCTCTCCCAGCACCTATATATTACATCTTCTCCACGATTCTGAAGTAGGAATCTCAGTTCCATATTCCTGAAATCGATTAAAATGCATCTATCCTATCTCTTTTTTTTTTTTTTTTTGATTTTTAACTAGGCTCTTTGAAAAACATTTTCTTTTTTCAGATTAGAAGTGTGCTCCCATGCCAATTCTCATTTGGGCGAAGAATGAGAGCTCAAGTATTTTATATTAGCGTTACAGTAAGATGTAAAAGATGACTGTACTGAAATAGTAATGATGTTCTCCGAATATCACGTGAGACCAATTACTACAGTACTATGTATTCTTGAATAAATATTGATAATGCCTCAAAGCTTTATTATAAACTTGTACACAGCCAGTCTCGATAAGTCGGTTTTTTTTAGCTGTAATAAGTCAGTCTCACGTGATAATGGTGTAACAAGCAAGTCAGAATCGTATGATCAATATAAATAACAATCGAATAGTTTAAGCGTAAATGGTTATGTAGTATCAGGGATAAAAGATTTTTCAACGTCAGATAAGAAAAAAGTAAGTCGATTCTCTAAGATAGGCTAGCTTGCAGTATTATTTTACTATTATGCAGTCAACCTCGTTAATCCGAAGTCCATGAAACCAAAGCTTAACTTCTTAACGAGTTTTCTTCATAATCCGAATCTGCTATAAAAAAAAAGATTATTCGGTTTACACACCATCAATCTTTTCAGCGATGCTTGGTTGTTTTGCTTGTTTTTTGTCTTTTCATTTTATTGCAATTCTCTGTACGCACAATGGAGTTTTTCGCTTTTGTTGGTTCATGATTGAAGAATAAAAATCGAATTGCAAACATTACAGAAAGCTATCTGCTTATCAACTGATGAGTTTTTAATCTTTGGATTAACAAAAATACTTCAGATTGGAAAATCTTCGAATTAAAGGGTGTGTGTGTGTGTGATATGTAATATGTCATTAGATTCGGATTACGGATTACAGTGATTTTATTATAAAAATTCGGATTAATGAATTGGAACCAGAAATTTTCTTCGGTTTTAACGAGGTTCAGATTAACGAGGTTCAGATTAACGAGGTTGACTATGTATTAATAAAAGGTGTGATTCTCGATAAGTCGGTTTCCTCAATAAGTCGGCAATTGGAGGCCAGCCCCTCTTGCCGACTTATCGAGGACTGTAATATTTTTGATTTAGAAATCTAGTGAGCCAATTGAAAGGCTGTGTCACGAGCACAACACATTTATAAGTAGTTCGACTTTCCGCTCGATTTTATAATGTTCGCATGTTCACAATTTATATTCATAGTTCATAGTAATATTCGTTTCCAAGAAAAATATTTGTTCGTATACTCTGAAATACACGATTGATTGATATAGCGTGAACCACTAATCCCTACATCAATCACTTCTTGTCCTGCGAATATTCTCGTGGCATTACAATTATTATTTGTCCCAAGTATAAACGTGCGTTGTAGATAGATACAATTATACCCAAACACTATAGCTTTCCATCGGAATGGAATGGCCGATTTATTCGAGGCCGAATAATCATCTAATATTAGTGTTTACCGATCGCAAAGCTGATTAAAGAGTCACTAACTGTCGTCTAAAAGTAGGAGATACCATATCTCTGTTCGAAAATAGTTAAATCAGAAGGTCAACGATCGATTTCTCTCCCACATTCTTGACTCGACAATCCAAAATCAAGCTCTCCAAAATTTGCCTCATACATTTTGTGATTGGTCAAGCGATGAATATGCAAAATGCCAAGCAAAAATTTTTTTATGCAACTCTTAACACCTTTGCTGCATAAACTTTCGTTATACATCAACAAAGCCCCAATAATCTAATTTGCCTTCTACTATCAGCAATGGGACTTGGAAAAGCACTCCGCACTGCTTTTCTTGTTTAATTATGGGAACAAAGATTCTTTTGATATTGTCGTATTACCTGCTAAGCTTATTTAAACACGGTTATAATCATGTGACATCCCGCGTAACGGACAAAGTCTTACAAAATGGAAGTGTAGTACAATAACGCCCCGAATGCCATAGCGATGTTTAGTAAGCATTCTGTGTCAGTGTGTCCTTGTTGGCTGTTTCGATAAGCGTGCAGCTTGTGACTGAATTTGTGGATATGCATAAAGATAGGATAAAGGGTTTCAGGTTGGGTCTTTATTTTCGCAAATTAATACCAAAAACGCCCCTCATTTAGCAGGTATTGTCACACATTACTGATTACATATTATCGGAATATCAGAATAGAAAACACTATTCATTTTTACTATTCTTGTTCTATTATCTATTCCAAATCAATAACGCCACAGGCGGATTTCAGGGGAGTATCAATTTATCCTCCTCCACATAGCACTAACCAATTTACGTTAATTCGGTTTCCTTTTACGGGCTGTAATAATAATCCTGAAAGTACCAGTTTTGATATAGCATAGCGATGACGGTAATAAATAATAATAATGTGAGAACACACATGAATCGATATGACAGCAACATTATTGCATCCACCGGCAACACTGGCAACTCGTCATAAGCAAAAGGAAGACGCTTTGCGAGCAGAACCATGGAACCTACGTTTCCATTGGGAATTATAAATAGACAATGGTCATATACCCATAACAAATCACGTTTACAATACAGGTAAACAGGCTATCCTTTCCCTTCTCTCCACTCCTCCCTCCTCGTGTTCACTTTTGTGCCCCAATTTATATATTAATAGACTATGTGATTGGTATCACTTGACACAAACCATGTGTGTCATCACTCAACTTCCGAAAAGTGATCTTTTAGTCTAATACATAACATTCTTTATATAGAGTAAATATATTATTAATGGTTAAGTTTCGTCGTCATAACACAAACGAGCTTCTTGAATAATATTGTAGCCAGCAGGACTTTTTGAATCCCTATTCCTCATATTGCTTCTTGCATACCGAGCAACAACCGACTAAACAGTCTATCGAGTAGAGTCTTCCACACGGTCTTCTATATAATTCAGCGTCATAGACTGTTCGCAACCATATTGAATATGCGTTTGAAGACCGCTCCGGTTCTATTATGTTCCGTATTGCTTGCCCTCTTAGGACACATTCATGGTGTTTCTGCTATTTTTGGAGGCAAGAAGTCAGAATCCATTAAATTTGAGAACGTTACGATAACATCAAACAATACTATCTCCAATATCGATGGTCCCACTACTGTGATAGAGACACTTGAACCACCGTCAATACTTGTAGTAGACAAGACACCGTCGAGACCAGTTACTGTGAGTATGATCGTCTAGTGTCTCGATAGCATGGACTGAGCATTTTTCTTATCGTCTCTGCGTACATTGCTTTTCAATTAATAGGGATTTCTGTATAAACTCTCATATAACTGCACAACTGGTTCTGGCACCACGACACCCCCCAAAATATACGACAATAGCATCGCTTTAATTGATAATGACGGTTGTCGTTCTGATGCTATCAGTTATGCAGAAAGGCAGAACGCCAATGGGGCAATTATCGTTATTCGGGCGGGTACTGGGGAAATTTACTCGAAAATTACAATATATCCGTCTCCTAATATCCCTACGTATCAGATCGCGTCCCCCTACGTAGACAAGCTTACTAACATTCTCAATAGTATGCAAAATGGTGGACTTACAAATGATTCGAGACCTGTCAGACAGATAAGGGTTGATATGGAACCATCTTCAAAGGGCTTCCCTGGGATATGGGAGTTTACCCTGATTGTATGTATGCGATGGTTGCTCAACGTTCTATCAATGAATTATTGTATAACCAACTTGTATGTTTCTTTTCCTCCCCCCAATAATAGGTGGTCGTGGTACTATTTGCAGTAACATGTGCAACATCAGGTAAGCTATTCAGTCAATGTCGTCTTAGTCCAAGGCTGGATTCTAATCGTTCTCTCTTATATTCAGTTGCTATGCACTGTCATCTTTACCGCCTACGCCGACGCCAGCGATCTCGAGATTTGGCTGCACACACAAGCCGTCCATATGGCTTGAAAATCTTGAGCCTTACTCACGAGATGTTGGATAAATTACCCGTGCGTATATACACAACTGCTAACAGGACCGATGAAGAACGACAGGAAAAAATTTTAGATGACGGAATGGACAATATAGTAAACGAAAAGGATGAAATAAAGGATGGGAAAGAAAAAGAAGATAAGATAAGTGATGAGAATGAAAATGATGGGAAGGGTAAAGAAAAGGGTTTACAACAGGATGGGCAAAATTCCGGGCTGATGGATATGCAAAAGGATGGGCAAGTGGATATACAAAAGGCTGACGAGGGAATGGAAAACAAAGATATAGAAGAACCTGAGAGAGAAAAGGGGGTCGGTGAGCATCTGGATGACAATAAACCAGAAAAAGAGCAGACATTATTTGTTGAAGTTAATAGCGAGCGGATAACAGATAGTGATAAAGAGGATCAAACATCCTCGCAGATTTCGCCTGCACCTTCTTCTCCTTTGGCCGAATCTTCGTCCCGGTTACCTTCGAAATCCGAAACCTTACCCTCACGTCGCATATCCATGCGATCAATTCGGTCGACTCGGTCAACTAAATCCGAACGTTCGCTTCGTGCTGTTGCTTCAGCGTCTGCGTTGGCGAGTGGTCAGGGTGTAAGCGGTAGCGGCGTTTCAGAAGATGGTCAGGGATACTCGGAGACATGTGCGATCTGTTTGGAAGATTTCGGTGACGGAGACGAGTTGAGACAGTTACCTTGTGGGCATGAATATCACAAAGAATGTGTTGGTGAGTTTTACGTGTATTTTGATCTGTCATGGAGATGTTCGTCTTGATTATATTAACACGTGCAGAATTCCTTTTACTGATGTCATGTATGTTATACTAATTTATTTTTCTAATTTAGACCCTTGGCTATTAGAGAAATCGTCTCAATGTCCGCTCTGCAAACGTGATTGCTTTCCGGATTCTTCTCCCTTGTCCTCTAATGCTTCGCTTCCACAATCTGCCTTTGCATCCATTTCGTCTGCCAATAATGTTTACATTTCAGCCATGCTCTCGTGGTCTCCGATTGTGTCTCTAGCTCGCTCGCTTCGTAAAGTACGTAATGTTATACGGCGAAGGCGCAACGTCAGGTGGATGGCAAATGAAGTAGAAAATGATGAGAGGTTGCCCGAACCTGTTACCGCTGTGCCGTCGAGTGGAGAGAGGAGCGTGACATCAGAGTCGAGAAGGGGCAGTGAGGATTATAGAAATGTTAGAGCAGAAAGCATAGACAATAATGCGGGAGAAGTAAGAATTGGAGTGTTATAATTGATGTACATTCGTTGTGAAAAATATTGTTGATATTGAGCATTATTTATAATAAGTATTGTGTTGATTGTATTGTACAGACTTTTAAAACATCATAATTGTATTCCAAAAATTGGTTCAAATACTATCGCTATATAAACAGTTTCGATAAACCGAAGAATGTTTACATGGATATGGTAATATCGTCCTTTCGTGTAACTTATAATTGGGTCTGGCTTGTGAATCATCCAACACGAATGTTCAAAGCGTCTTATAGAAGTTATGATCGAATATTTGGGCAAGACTTGTTAGTGTGGATTATACATGACCCTGGTATTACGACATACCAAAACAATTGCCTTTTAAGTGGCACAACTTGGTGGAGTTATGAAAGATATTACATAGGTAAACTCGATTATCATAATAATAATAATAATAATGTGAATATCCATAGTTAAGTGCGTCATACATAATCTACTATTAGTCATAAATTGCCTAGCAAATATCCACAATAATTAATTCACTTTTCTTTTGCATTGACGTTTATTTTCACACATTAATAATAAATAGCCATCTGATTTTTCTGCAATTAAACTTAATAAGACTAAATAGTAAGGACACTTACGTAATATCCCTACTTCATTATTAAACAGACAGGGGGCGAAGATACCAATATCAATTTTAACAAAAATGAATAACGGCTCAGGTTCTTTATTATTCACCTTTTCAGCTAGGACTAGAAGCGCACCTGCAGTATCGAGAGAAGAAGTCACGCGTCTAAAGCATACTCTTTTATGTCTCAACCCGATTTAGTTCAAGTATCTCAACTGTCTCAACTGCTACTCGAGTTCGGTTGAGCAAAAGCTCCTTAATCGCGTTTCAAGAAGAAAAATTTGGAAGTAAGCGAGGAAGCTGACTCACGACTATATGACAAAAAATTAGCTTTCAATATAAGAATTAGCAATAGAATTGCCATGTTTGTTTATTTATCACATATTTTACAGAACCGGAGATGTTATTGACCAAGATATGGTTTTGTTGTCTGTTATCTCGACCAAATTGAACGGCTAAACGAATATAAACACGTTATTAAACTTTTGGAGTGAGCAGTTGAATTGGGAAATGCTATCCAAAACAACCGTATTGCTTATGGTTTCTTCTCCCTCTTCTCTGATGAAAACGATGAAACAATATTACCGTATTCTTCCGAAAATAATGATAAGCAACACTTTTTTGTTATAGTGTTGCTTATTTTCGGGTAGTTTAATAAAATCGAGACTGATTATGTTCTTGATGAGAACAAACTTCTTGGGAAAGGTCCAAATGGTACCCTTAGCCTAGTCTTTGATGGATTAAACAAAATAATACTACTATTTGGACTTGGTAATTACTGGCTATTTAATTATGAAAACATTGAACTCAACTTCATGGTTCTCGGCCATACTAATACCAAGTTCAAATGTGATGGTAGCTTTGGCCTAATTAAAAGCTTATTATTATCATAAAACTACAATATAAATAGACTGTGTTGATCATGTAGTTGAGATGGTAAAAATGTCTAGCATTGCTGGATTAAATAAAGCTCAGTGTTATAATGGTAGAGATGGCTTTCAGTACTTGGATATTTTAGTTTAGCAGCCTACTTCAAGAAACTACTTTTTTTTTTTTAAAGTGGCAGGAATTTCGGTTGTTCAGTAGCTTTTGAAGCAAACTAGACCGCACTATAAAGATTATCAACTTGTAAAAACTATGCTGATTTAGCTTTTAGTAACAATTCTTGGGAAGAGCTTGATGAAAATGTTAAAAGTTATATTGATCTATCCAATAAAGATCCGGGACAATTAAAAAAAAAAAGCAGTTAACCAATGCCAAAGAGCGAGACAAAATATTCCCTCTTTGATTAATTCCAACTATCTTAGTAACGGCAGGAATAACAGCTATAGTAATAGCGTTTTACATGTTGAGGAAAAGAAATAGGAACGTCATCATAACATTGTCGCACAACGTGCATTATAACCGTTCGTTGCCGATCCTTACCTAAACATAACTTTCCTATTTTGACGCGTCATAAACAATAACAGATCAATCCATGAGTTTAGCTCTAGCTCTTTCATCGAGCTTATAAAAAATAGAGTTTAGAATGGAGAAAACGGGCGAGAAGGAAGCTAATATTCAAGTAGTAGTTCGTTGCCGGTGAGTGAATATATATACACACGATAATGTCTTGTAAGAATAAAAAGATATTCACATAGGTCTGTGATTGCGTTAGGGAACGCAACGAACGGGAAGAAAAAGAAAATTCACCAATAGTCGTATTCACCGGCCTAGATGCGAGGGGCCGTGAAGTCCAATTACGGACAAGTCCGCTCGATAAAATACCCAACAAGAGTTTCTTCTTCGACAGGGTATTCGGTCCCGACGCCAACCAACAACTAATATACCAAGAAATCGTAGTTCCTATACTGGAAGAGGCAAGCATTGGGGTTTAGTTGTTTTCTAAACATTTGAACATGCTAATTAACTTTGTCGCTGTCCCCATTAGGTGCTTTTGGGGTAATTAACTGAAAGATCGATCCCGTGCGTTTTAATTGAAGTAACTTTCACCAATGTATATTCCATTTGCTATTGTTACAAGTTACAACTGCAGTATTCTTGCCTATGGGCAAACCGGAACGGGCAAGACGTAAGTGGTTCAGATATTAGTACTATCGTTGTTTTAATAACGCTCTTGACGTTTGCTCGCGAATTGGTCCAGATACACGATGGAGGGCGATCTTGGTGATATGGATGGAGAAGCTGCAGAACATGCTGGGATTATTCCTCGTGTTTTGAACAATCTTTTTAATATACTCGAAAGAGACAAGGCAGAATATTCCGTGCGTGTTTCGTTTGTCGAATTGTATAACGAAGAATTGAAGGACCTTTTATCCCCGACTGATGATACGCGTAAGCTCAAAATATTCGAAGATGCGGCGAAAAAGGGTGTAGTGTTACAAGGCGTTGAAGAAGTTTTGGTAAAGAACTGGTCAGATGGCATTCGTGCTTTACGACAGGGATCACATAAACGACAGGTGGCTGCTACAAAGTGCAATGAGAATTCTAGGTGATTAGATTTGCGTCGAGTATTTTGATCGATAGTATCGTATACCACTACTAGAATGAAGTAGACTGAAATTTTGACATTCTGTAACAAAAAAAAAAAAGCCGTTCCCATTGTGTTTTCGCAATAACATGTCACATCAGAGAAACCACTGGTAATGGAGAAGATCTTTTGAAAGTCGGTAAGCTAAATCTGGTTGATCTGGCTGGCTCGGAAAATATCGGTCGCTCAGGAGCCGAGAACAAGCGCGCTCGGGAGGCTGGTGTGATCAATCAGGGTCTGCTTACTCTGGGCCGTGTAATTAACGCGCTAGTTGAACACTCGCCTCATGTGCCTTACAGGTTAGTTGGGTCAAAAGTCATCAACTGTCGATTCGTATCATGGAACCCGACGGATTATATGAATCTAACGGATATATTATACCCGATTTCTGACAGGGACAGTAAGTTGACCCGTCTTCTCCAAGATTCGCTTGGTGGCAGAACAAAGACTTGCATTATCGCCACAATATCTCCAGCAAAAGTCAACCTGGACGAATCATTCTCCACGCTAGACTATGCCAATCGTGCCAAAAATATCCGTAATAAACCCGCTGTTAACCAACTTTTAACAAAGAAGGCGTTAATCAAGGACTATGAGGACGAAATTGCACGACTGAAATCGAATTTGCAGGTAAACTCTTCATTTGACTATGAGGGAACGCGTTACTCTTGTGCTCGCGGCTAATTATGTTTATACGGCCATTACACTACTCCAGGCAGCATGGGATAAGAGTGGCATTTTCTTATCAAAAGATAATTACCTCAGCCTGGTAAATGACAATCAAAGCCTCAAAAATCGTATCGAAGAATTGCAAATAAAGGTTCAGACACAGGAGGAGATGCGCGAAAAAGATCATCGCGTGATTGAAGCATACAAGACGTCTCAGCGATCAATGGCTCTGGATTTTGAAGCAAAAACCGGAGAATTCAAGGCCGTTCAGGCATCTTTCAGTCAGTCGGCTCAGGTCCTGATGAACACGTTTATGGAGGAGAAGGCCAAGGTATAGATATATTTATCTCTAGCCCTGTTCTGACGTTTCGTAGAGCCAGTCTGCACTATTGATCATTTTTAATCGCATTTTTAGGAACTTGCAGACGGTCAAAAGTACGTTGAGGATAATTTGAACAAGTTTGTCGAGCTCACACAAGCGCTGCTGGAAGGTGCTGTGGAAATGAGCGATTCGGCAAAACAATCTTTTGCCGAGATTACACGGCAATTCATAGAATTTCGCACGACAATCTCTTCAAAGTATCACGATCAGCTTGCCGCTTCAGAAAAATTGATACAGAACCTACGAGAAGAATTAAAGCGACACTTTGACAAAGTAAGGGCGATTGGCTTTGATGGGGAGGGTGTGGTTTCTTTTGCGTTATGTCTCATCCTTTTCATGCTTCGTATATAGATAAGCGCAGTTCATAAACAAACCGACACGGACATATCTGTTATCGTCGAAACAGCCGAGATTCACGTAGACGCCATCAACACTTCGATAACATCCATAAAAAATAGTGCCAATAATCATGCCCAGGAAGTGGTAAACCAATGTTTCGGCTCATTTGTAGATCTTTCGGCACGACAAGTTATATCGGTAGCTAATAACCCCTTTATAGATCAAACGGCGAGAAGAAGAGGTTACGCGTCTTGAGGAAGTGACCAAGGAGAAGAGACTGATGATGGAATCGATTCAAGAAGAAATAATAAGTAGAATGAAGGCGTTAATAACGGATTTGACTCGACGAGCGACGGAAACTGACAGAGAAACGTGTACGAATATGCAGAAGATAATCAAACAAGACCTTGATGATATCCTTTCTCTACATATACATTTCGGTGTTTCGTTGATTTCATGTAACATTCTTGACCAAGCTTTTTACATATGCAGAAGTTCAACCAGTCAAACGAAGAACGTTTCGGCGAGTTGATACAATCGAACGTTCGGTATCACGAAAAGTTGTTGCAACAAGTGGCATCTACCAACGATAACTTTACAGAGCTCGAGAGTGTGAGTTATCTTTATTTTGTTACAAGCACTTCTTAGGTTGTTTGTTCTGACGCGTGATTGCTTTTTACATGTGATGCAGCAAGCCGATAAATTGTTCCCGAAGATTGATTCGGTCGATTCTAACGTAAAACACTATGTTGAGGCATTTGACGTCACAGCTACTAATGCGATGTGTACCATGGATTCGGCCGTGCTTGATGGTAAGGATAGCTTACGCACATATGTGTCTTGTAATATTTATAGACATACTAAATTGCCATTACTTTATTGAAAGGAGAGTCGAAGCTGTCCGAGACTAGTGGCAGTCACCGTCAAACAATAGGCAATATTGGTAGCAGCGTCAAAGAAAACTGCATTCACATTAAGACTCGACTTGAAAAGATTGGGGATGACCTTAAGAACAATTCACACAACGCTATAAAGATGGTAATTAATGGTTGTTGGAATTGACTCAATTGTCTGCATTGGATATTAAAATTTTTGTCACGTGATATAGGTACAAGAAAACGATTGTAGAACAGATTCATTCAGCAATGAGGCAGCGGCTCTTGTAGAAAACATGCGGGTCGATATGGAGCGATTGACTGCAGGAAAATTCGAAGTGAACAATGACGACACCATCTCTGACATGACCGATATGACCGTTGAAAATCGTCCCGAGTCTTTAGCATCTGTATTAACAGAAGTCAACGGCGATTGTCGAAAGCGGACACGAAGTCAAATGCCCGTGCGAAAAAAGCGTCATAAGATTGTGTAATATTCGCATAATAAATATATACGATAAATAAATACATACGTACATACATAATACATACATACATATATATATTAATATCTTTGCCGACTGATGACCTGTTCAGGGCACTAGAAACGAATAAGAATACAATCAACTCGAGTGGCCTTAGTTCGACTCCAGCTAATATTGCAGCATGTTAAGTTGCCAAACGTGGCATGATTTTACCAAACCCGCATTGTGCTGATCGTTTACATCAGGTAAGATATTTAGCGAATCATGGCCTTAGTTCGACCTCAGCTGATGCAGTATGTTAAGTGCTGAAGAAAACGTTGTTTATGAGTACAATCAAATCAGTAATGAACTTGTAGAAATGTTTAGAATAGGAGGAGAAAGTAGCAGTAACTTGGAAGATATGGACGATAGCACTGAAACAACTGTTATCAGTGCTAGTGATGCATTAAGTTTGGAGATCGTACAAACACTTTTGATTCAACAAGAAAATACAAAAGAACAAGTGAAAATGGCAAATATTCTATTAGGGAAAGAAAAGCCAATATGATGTGGCAGACAAACATACTGTAGATCAGTATTTTATGCAATGTGAAATTAATAAATGTTGTCACGTGATTTACTCACTAATGCACACTCATACCAAATAAATGCACTTTACGCGGACTGAGGTAATAAATTTTACTTGCCTGTTGATCGGAATGGGGTACATGAACATTTTGTGCCCAATCGTAACTGTAATGAGTAGTAGCGTCAGCACTACAATAATCAGCTTTACCTCTTGTTATACAAGGTCAACCCCGATAAACCGAAGATGTCGGCGCAGCCGTTTTCTTCGGATTAGCGGGGTTTCGGATTAGCGGGTTTGCTCTACGTGTATAAACCGAAGTTTATATTCAGGAAAACCATACATTCGCATAAACGGGTAAGTGCTCGACGTTTTTTATTGTTGGATTTGTTGATTTTATATTACAAATTTCAATTTTTTGAGCAAGCTTAATTGCTGTATGTTTTCTTTTAGGTGCCATATTGTAGAACGTTTTGTCTTTGTTCGATCGAATTCTTGTTTGTATAAGAGAAGAATATTGCAAAGCAATTTTTATAGACAAATATAATTGGCTGAAATATGCGGTTTATCGGGGGGAGACAATACCTGCAATAAATCACGATAGACCGATTTGTAACTCGTTTCAGCTCAATAAAGTTTTTTTGTTTAAATTGTAGTAATAAATCTGGTTTCTCAACAACAAAGCAAGCTATCCGGTTAAAATTTAAATGAATGTAAATTTGTGTATATTTATTATGTGGAATTAGTTTTTAAACAATTTTAAAGTTTTAGGTCGTTTAGCTTGATTTTAACTTTTTCGGTAACACAAAACGTTAGTTATATATATAAATATTATCATATTACTAGCTGACACACTACAATTTTTTGTAAATATGTTTTACACTAGATGCGCTAACTTTAGTATTAGTTTCACGGTAATTGCATTTCTCGTTATGTCAATATCTGCATTTAATTGCAAATTTAAGGGGTGTCGGCGACCATCGAATAGTACCCCAGATTCAAAATTCGATTTCTCAACGAAAAAGCAAGATAGTCGGGTAATATTTTGTAAATACAATAGCGCTTTTTTTGCACTTTAAATGAGTGTAACTAAATGTAAATTAACATGTGTATTAATTTTTACCAATTTTTTAAATATTCGTGTCGCATAACCTAATTTTACCTTTTTCGTAGGATAAAAGTCGGCTTAGGTAAATTCGTAAATTTACTACCTAAGATATTGCAATTTTTTGTGTATATACTATATAGAAGGTGCGCTAAATTCAGTATTAATTTTGCGGTGATTGTATTGCTCGTTATGCCAGTATTCTTATTTAATTGCAAATATAGGGGTGGTCGGTGACTTTTGCCACGGGAGTGTACAAATGCCGATCAGTGGCTTAATCAATGACGTATTAGTATTCTTAGGTACTTTCTAGACCCCTGTATGCAGAATGTGACCAATGATAATTGATGCGCAGAAATTTGCATGTCGATTACGCATTAAGACGTTTAGTTAGAATATCGTGACTCAAAAAGATTTGCTATAAAAAACGACAGAAACTGAGCTAGTTTACGAAAAAGCTTCGCGAACTGATTTTACAAAAATCCATCCAACAGACTTATCTTTTTAAAATGTTTGCTCTCACAAGCGAATTTGTTATTGGATTATTGATCAGAATTATCCCCTTTATTATAAAATTCACAAAGATCAGCTGCATATCATAAATTAGAAAACTGATAAAGCAATTAATTTAATGGGGCCGAAGAAAAAATCCAAGACTAGCAAACAAATTGGCCAATGTGACTATACACCAGAAATCGAAAACTTATGGAACGATTTAATTCTATTATACGAAAAAAGAATTAAATATCCAAAATTTTTGTTCAACAAAATGGTCCTCAAAATTCATAAGTTACTCGGTGAAGGAAAGAGCATTGCTGTTTCTACGATAAGAAATTTTTACCTACGAAGAACAACTCCACGGAAGAAGTCTAGTATGGCGATTCAATGTTGGATTGAGGAGGAAAAGAAGAAAACATAAACAACGAAGATGACGAAAACGAAAATCAAGGCATAGATGATAGTAATTTTATTATTAATAATAGCAATGGCAAAAATGATAACAATATTTAGATTCGCTTTGGGTCCAAGTATTTTCCTCCCATGCAATCACTCTCGCTTATATTTTCAAGAGCGCGCATTCAATAAATAATAAATTTATGCTTGCGAAAAATTGACTTATTTTACATGTTTGACTTTTTATTGCAATTGTGTCAATGTGAATCAAAGCTTAACGAATGCAATCGAGCAGTCTTTTATCAAGACTAACAATAAAGAACGATCTTTTGTTGATGGTCACCTGACCAGCACAGCGGAGGCCTTGGTGGGAATCTTCGACATTGAATCGTTTTCCTTAATTTTCTTCAAGTTTTCGTTTCTTCCTTGGTTCATCATGATGTGTTGGCGTTAAGGCTCGTTTATGGTTTATTATTTTTCGTTCTTCTTGGTAAATTTCATAAGTAATTTTTTTTTATCTAGATATTCCTGGAGAGTTTGGGTATCATTGATTTTAAAAATGTATGGGGCAATTTTTCTCCTTGAGCTTTCTTTAAAATACTTCTAATGGGTGCTTTAATTTCTTTGGTTCCATGGTAGATTTGATGTAAATTAGTTTCATATTAATATTTTATATAGAGATAGTCCTATATGGAACGTGTTATAATTGTTAGCAAACAACCATGCATGCCAGTTTCAATTAAATTTCAGTCATATTTTCTATAACAAATCTAAGATAGTCTATAAATTATGTTTGAGCTGCAGCTGTGCCACTAAAGCAAACCCTTCCAAATGTCACATTGATTTTTTAGTCACATCAGCCTCTCATTCATGTCACAAAACAGAATGTTCACTTTGTCTGGTTTGGTTGCAGCATGCCCCATATATTATCCCTAAATGCACTCTCTCAACTTTTCAGTCCCGAGGAGCTAGTATTTGTGACGGCTGATGCTCGTGACCCGGAAATTGATCACATAATTAAGACTTTCCCAGTTTCTAATGATATTATTGTCTGGTTATTGACAGAAGAGGTTCGATTAAGTTAATTTTTGGAACTAGTATTTTGGTTTAGTACAGAAAAAGCTGCCGTCTACGAATACACAGTGACTCTCGAAATGTTGGAAACTTTTTTCCTCCTAATTAAACTAGCTCTATAATGCCTGTTCTGGAGTCCACAAAACAGAAGATATAAATTTTAGGGATAGAAGTTGATGAGGAAATTGTCAAGTTTGTAAGGCTCAAGAAGGCAGAGAATAACGAAGAGTCGGATTAACGAATGTAGAAAATGTTAAACACTTGAAAGCGGTAGTATATCACATGATATATTACTAAACTACACTATATGGAAACCTGTTGTATTTTTTGTCTCCACTATAAAGAGAGTCACTATGTAATTGACCCCCCGATTAGATACGCGTTAATCAAGACGGCACGGCCGCAGCTTAAATTGCAGTTCTTTAGTTCACGTGATGCTCGGAAATAAGATCTTGTGCCAGGATAGTAGTATAATACTCGACAGGGTACAACAACATTTACCACGACCTTCGCCGCCGTTATGACCTCAACACTTCGTAATAAACAAGGAAATAAAACGTTTTCTTCCGTCGCGTATAAAATTCTCTATAATGACATTCGATCGCTGTCAGATAGTAATATCAATCAAATGCTTGATGCTCTATTGGCAAGCACTACTTTAACCACAGCAAATGAACAGGACTTGATAGATCTGCTCGTCTCTGGCTGTAAAACGATAAATTACGCTGACGAACATTTTGTCTTGAAGTTTAGTAAAATAATCTTTATTGTTTGTAATAAGCACCAGGTTCGTTTCGCCATTAATTGGTAGAGCGTTTGAGCTTAATTTGCTTGCCAATTTATGACTGATTATATGAAATGTAGATCAATCTTAACGGCAATTCATCCAGACAGTCGCCACTGGAAGTGATATTAACATTCCTAATAAACTCGTTGCCATATGCTACCCAGCCATCGAGTGAAATCAACATTTTGCGTACATTGAGTGCGGTTCTTTTTGAGAATGGCACCAAATGTCAAAAGGTAATAGCAATTAGTCATGTTCTAATTCCATGATTCAAGATCACATTATTATTGCCGTTTGAGAATAACTATTATTACTTGACAGTTCCACGAAAGTCTCTGCCATCTTTTGTTTCCTCTCGTACGGCCAGATAACCCTAATCTTGAAACAAGACGTATGGCTATAAATTGTCTTGGCAATCTATGTATGCGTACCGGAAACAAACTAAACGGAAAATATAAAGACATCTACGAAATATTTTTGGCTAATTTGAACTCTATGACTATTGATGATACCGCCAGTCTGAAGGTTTCTATTTGGGATATCCATTGTAACGAAAATGCAGAACAGGCTAACGTATAACTTAATGTAGGTTGTAAGCAGTACGTTACGCGCATTGCAATTGGTTGTGATTGAAGATAAGAATGTCCTTGTGGAGCCATTTGGTGCTGTCGTTGAGACGATTAAACGCTTCGTGTTCTTTAACTTCGATGGGTCAAGAGAAGAAGCGTCAATGCGAGGTATCCAGACGTTAGTTCGATGTACTGCGGAGGCGCCAAAATTTTGGTAGCACTCGTTTGCTCGCATAGTTTAATATTGCTTATTGGATAATCGGGTTACTTCATACAATAATCTTATTGCTAACAATAGATCAGATGTTGCCAACCCAGATGTTGCGTCGGCAATCCGCATCTACGCCTAAATCTCGACCATTGCGTCAGATGGAAGCTGGAACTCATTCGCGGAATAACAGTAAATCATGGATCAGTTCTGATTCTGAATTATCGGATGGGGATCATTTTCATCAACGGAAAACGTATGTCGATAGGCATTAATAATTTCTGTCGATATGGTTATGGTGGGGTAATTTTAACGAGACTCATTACCAGGAACGACGGCTCACGGATAAGATTGAATGCACTTGGATGTCTGCAAGCTATAGCAAGGGTAAGCTGCGTTTGTATCTGAAATGTAGATATGTAAGATTCAAAGTTTGATTTAATGTATTATAAACCTTTATTTAAAGGCAGCCCCAAAGTTACTACATCCGCACTGGACTAAATTTCTGTCTGATATGCATTCTGTGCCGACTTCTCCTTCTTTGTTCACTCTGATTGCTCATGATACGGTTCAAACGGTTCGCATCGCTGCTTGTTCAGCGATTATGATCATGTTAGATGGCTCAAAAAAATATCTATCTGTTGCTGATGATCGGTCAGTATTTAAACTTTGTGAGTAATTATATTTGGGCTTTAATATTGATTACTTTACTGTTTTATTTGTTCCATCTTTGAAGAGACACAAAATCATCATTCACTTCTCTCTCGGCGAAGCTGGGCGGTCTTGTACGCGAGTTGCATACCGAATTAATTAAAACTATTGCTTTAGAGGAAGAAGTTCCGGTGTTAGTTCAATTGTTAAAGTGTGGCAACGTATTAGTTACTAATACCGCATATGAGCGACTATCTTCCGGTTATTTAAGTCGATTATTTCGGGCTGTTGTTTCGCTACTGGCTCATGAAGGTGAGTATCGCGTTCTCACGCTTTTGAGTGATTGCGTGAGTGCTAATTGTGCTATTGCTATTATAGATACGTCTATCAGAATAAGTACTCTGACTTTGCTTTCATCGATAATAAGTTGTAATTCACGTCATGATGAAGTACTGCAGTTATTGGAAGGAAAAGTTGCATCCGATTCATCTAGCACATCTACACTGCTCCATAGCTCTAGTCTCTATAACAAAACCCTTTTACAATATTTGATAGAAACTGTTGGCGACAACAACCAACCATCTAATGTACGCATAGAAGCGTGGGGACTTTTATGTGGATGTGCTAGAGGGAGCTTTATTAATGTGAAGTAAGCAGTTTATGTTAAAATTATTTACTAATCAAGGAGAAATGTATTTACTGTTTGCATATGACCTTAAATGTAGCTATCTCTGGAGTCAACTTGAGGTTCTGATAACTAATGGTATGGGTACACGCGATATCAGTATCCGTACTGCTGCCATGACTTTCATGGAAGAATGTGCCAAAGCATCTTCATCAGGGAGTAACATTGAGACTACCGAAAGATTACCTGTGGTAACTATAAAACTAAGGGGGTTTCGGCGTGCTAATTTGTCAATATTTTCGCCAGATATGGTTTTTACTAATAACAGTTCTGTAGATCGAAAGCAAGCCACCAGTATCATCAGACGAACTATTGCACTGGTGGCGTTTGATAATTGATAATCATATTAATAAGGCTGCCACCGATGAATGTCATGCTGTCCGAGCATTGAGTTGTGACTGTTTGTCTCATATACCAGATTATATATTTGCCGAATTGCCAGTGAGTGAAAGTGATTGTCAGTATACTTGCTTAGTACTGTACTGGTATGGATATTCACTTTTATCCTATTGATTAGGATGACCGTCGATATTATTGCATGACATTTTTACTCGGTTTTGTACAAGACGACAGCCCAATTGTTAGGGCAGCTGCGTGTAGAGCTTTTGGAGTGTTTATTCAGTTTCCTAGTTTACATGAGGTAATGAGCTAGTTGACATTTTTAGTGTTGAACCTGTATGATTGTCACTATTGTCATTATTTATCATTTTGTAGAACTGTTTATTACATCTGTTAATATTATTGTTTCCTCCACAGGATACATCATTTATCACAGATATGGCTGTGTCAATTTTTGAGCAAATTTCAAATACTAATCTAATGGTCCGAATGCGAAGTAGCTGGGCACTTGGAAATCTATGTGACACGCTAGTTAATTTGAGGTTCTATTAACGTCTGATATTTTTAGGGTTTATCATGGAATAGTATTTTGGTTTACTTATACATCAACTAATACAGCAGCGACGCAGAGCGTCTGATGGAGTTTCTAACGGAAGACATATGGATACGTTTGCTACGTGCCGGATTAGCTGCATCAAACGATAATGACAAGGTTTGCGGGTTTAAAACTGATTGAACACTACTATTATCAGTTTATAATCTTTTCATAATAGGTGAGACCAAATGGAGTGAGAATTCTTGGAAGCGTATTGCGGATAGGTCCGAAGACATATCTGATGAAGGAGCATAATGGATTGGTGAGGGAAGCAGTTCTTATGATTATTAAAAATTTTGAGTACAGTTCATTAAAGGTAAGCATTCTTATTGAGCATTGATACGAGCCTGCGATATTTGTAATTGATGTAAACTTGTTATTTGCATAGGTTCGGTGGAATGCGTGTTATGCGGCTGCAAATATGCTGCGTAATGTTCATCTGCCTATAAGTTCTGATACATGGGCAAATATGTTATATGAAGCTCTGATTAAGGCTATGACTTCAGCCAAAAATTTTAAAGTACGGATTAATGCATCCCTTGCATTGTCTTCTCCCGTTGCTCGTGATAAGTATGGGAACCAGCAAACGTTGGCGAAAGTGTTTGAGGCGGTTGTGTATGCTCTGGAGAATGTGGAAAGTATGGCTGGTGCAGGATTCCAGGAATTTAAATATCAGGAACAATTGAGAATGCAGGTAAATGGTGAACGCGCGAGGATCTAATGTGTGTCATTAACAGACAACATACTGATATGTCTGGGTTTTTATCCAATATCTTTCGTGGTTGTTAATAATCCTCTTTGTACTTTGCAGTTGATATCTACATACGATCATCTCAGCGGCCTGTTAAATGAGGGCGAGAAAGCTCAGTATCAATCGCTCATTGATAGAATCATTCAGTCGCCCGGATATAATAAAGTTAAAAACGATATGCCTGAGATTTAAGATAAAGTAAACTGTTGAATCTTGGTATATTAGAGATGGACATTCATTTATTTATTGCGACAGAGTCAGATAATTGGGGAAGAAAAGGCTAATAGTTTCAACTATGCGATTCACTGGATTGATGCTAATACTTGGGTCCATTTACATATCACGGTCCGAATGAAACTCAGGAATTTATAAGGCATCGATCAAGAGTTAGCTCGAATAAATAAAGTTTTTGCTAACAAGGCTGAGCGTATAGTAAACACTGAATACCTAAAAAAATGTAATAGATCAAAGAATGTTGGATTTGTAATAAAGGTTTAAATGGTGTGGTGATACGTCTGGGATCATCGTCATGGTACTGGTAAGTTTCGTGGTGTATCGCACAATAGAAACTGCATATCACAATAGTATTTCATAATTTCGGCTATTATTCTCACTTGATTGTGAACCAGTAGGACGCTCAGTTAATGTGAAGCATATAGAAGTTACTGCGGGAAGCGTTACAAGTCTATAAAGGTAGGTCAATTGAGATATACCGACTGCATGCAGTTTATGAACGCATCCTCGCCGAAAATTTAGGTGCCGTATAATATAAGGATAAAAACTGTATCTGTAACCATTTCCACCGAATAGATATCGATGCTTCGGTACTCTTGGATGCCATAAAATAACATGCTAGCATTAACACTGGTATGTCGTAAAGGAGTCTATCCTTATGAATAAATTGACTCACTGGAGAGGTTCTGAACTCCCGACATTTCATGAATTTCACAACAGCTTAAGGGAAAAATCTGTCAGGAAGATTACGATCATGCGCAAAAAGTATGGAAAGAATTTGGACGCAAGAATTATCTAAAAAAACTGAATACTTACAAATATTTGGATGAGATATTATAAACTCGATCCAAGTCGTTATATGTCTTATCATAGATGCGATGCTAAAAATGTCTGAGTAGATCACTGAAATGTCAATGTACGATTTATCGAAAAGCACGGCCAAAAGAAGGAAATCAGCACTTTTTCAACCTATTTCCTCCCTTTCCTCTACTGATAAATCCCCCATTTCTTTTTCTAATTTTAAAAACGTTGGAGGAATGGCAGACATCGAAACGATACTTTAAGGCAAATAATCCAAAATGGGTACAGATTTTGATCCGTCCCAACCCACGACTTGGATAACATATGTCGATGCGAATAATTTATACGGGTGCGCTATGAGTCAATTCCTACCAATTACTATCGGTGGGTATAAATGGGTTGCAAGCAGAGAATATCGAAACAGCCAGCTGTGCAGAAAAAGTTTCTCAATATGATTCTCACAACCAAGGCAGATGCACAATGGGTAAATATCAAGACGCATTTACGGAAAGCACTCACGATTAACTCAATGAGCTACTTCCAGCTGTCAATAATATTGCGATGAAACGAGATTGGCTCAGTCACAAGAACTAGTAACGTTTGATAGAGAACCAATTTTCAGAAACAAAAAAAAAATTATATTTTATCTTGGCAAGCGAGAATATTATATGATCCATTATCACGAATTACAATATTATGCATGGTTGTGGAGTGGATAGTTACGGAATATTATCATTCAAAGAAACTAGCTAGCTCGTACCTTATGTAAAATCCAATACCGAACACTGAATTATTATTATTTTATTATTTTATTTTTTATATTTATATTTATTTTATTTTATTTATTTATTTTTTAATTTATTGCTCGTTTGTTTTTCGCTTATGTTTACGTGTATTGTGAGGGTTCAGAGTCCGAACAGTTTGTTTTTTTTTTAATGAATAATGCGGTGTATTTATAAGACTATGAAGAATGTCCGAAAATATCAGGATGTCAAAATTATGTCTGAATAGTGATGGCGACGAGAAGAAATTCCGCAAACCATCATTCAACATGCTAGACAATTTTCAGATACTTTTATTGATACTGACAGAGACCGAAGACATCTGGCAGAAAGACCAGACATCTATGATATGGGACCTAGGTAAATTAATAACTGAATCAATCCATATTCGAGACAAAATGTAATATCTGATGGTTCTAATTTTTTTGAACCTAGTGCTGTTTTATAATACACTGTGCCGGTGGTGACAAATCCTACTTTTCTGAGCAACTACAGCAGATAATTAAATAAAACTCGATGTATAAAAGCCTCAAAGGTACATTGACTGTAAAAATTTTAGTATGGGAATTCTATCCCCATTTTTTCCCAATGATCAATTCACGTTTATTTTTCATAAACCGTACTGTTTCAATAGGAATTGCTTTCCATTCTTCAATTAAAAACTGCTTTAATTTCTCAATATCTGTCTTTCAACTTTATTCCTAATTATTTAACTAGGTTTCGTGTCCTTTATTAGATGCAACTAAGGTGGACCTCTAAAGCTGCTTTAATTATTTGACTAGGGTAGTGTCGTGCCGACTACTGCGGGAGAGCAGAAAGTGATCGACACATGGGATTTAACTAGTCTCGACGGAGCGCGCCTCCTATTCAAGTTAAATATCTAATTTCACAGTTAGTGACCTTGTAATCGCAAGGCTTTTCACTTACGGGCTTTTTCACCGTAGAATGACATTTATCCTAGATATAGAATCGTTCTCGAGTGTATCGGCGGTTATTACCGAGGGATTAATCCGGTAATCTCCCGTTTGGGATACAATGGTTTATCACTTAGATTGAACGCGTTCGAAAGTTAACGATTAAATATCCTAATTTGCCACTCAGATAATTGTGGGACAAGAGGCAATTATCCTTGGTTGATATACGGATAAAACGGTTTCTCAGATATATCAACCAATTTAGAGAATAGGGTCAAAAGTATATGTTCAGAGTAAATGCGATACTCGTTTATTAACAATAAGGTATGGATATAAGATACTATGCGAAACACTGCGAACAATAACACACATAACACACCGACTCTCGCTGAAACTCCTACTGCTTATATATCTTTTGAGCGGTCTAATCGATCTATTTTTAGCAGCTATTTCTAATATTCTATCGATAGTCTAATTGTATACGTTTGAATAAACCGAAGCGCTCTGCCAATGTCCGTTCTCCGTTCCGGCACTGCTCTGGCACTGCTCGTACTACTAGTGCCGAAATATTACAGTATTAGTAACACTAATAAGTGCCCGTACTCCACAATAATATTTGTACTCCTGACAGTGCCTGTACTACCCATGCTGAAATCCGCAGCTGCGCCGGTGTTACCGCCGATTGATTTGGACTGCGGCACCGTCACAGATTGCAGCGCATCACAATCCCCTATCATGAGATTTAGCTGCAAATCAATGACCAAGAATTAGAAATTTTGATGATGCAGACATCATTCCAAATGTCATATTTCAATCGACTGATGAACCACAGGTGATTGATGCCATAATAAGGGCATCATTACCACAGTTAGGTGATGATAATTGGCTTCTCTTAGGATTCACAAATGAAACTGAAGGCCAGAGACAAAGGGTATTCCTGCAGATTGTGGACAACAATGGCCCATATACATTTCTAATGATCTTTGAAGGTATGTAAATATATCACATGTACTTTTTATCTTAAAATATATTGTAAGTGTAGCCTCATTAAATTTGTAGTGCAGCAACAATGCATCGACCTAGGAATTATATGTCACAAAGGCTTTTGCTGCAAGTATTGATGATATGCAACAATCTCCCCTTTCAACTTCACATACATCACCTATTTTGTTGCCATCAATACCCACCATTTTGCCATCATCCTCTTCTTCTTTGCAACAATCTATTATACCTCCATCATCTCAGCCAAATCCTTATCAGACCAACAGTCATTAGACACATTATTACACACAACAATACATGCGAGTATGAATAATACCATTTTTTGATCCACACTCTATTGAATATAACAGAAAGCCAACAAATGTAGATTGTAATCCACAATCATAGTTTACTAATTAATGACTTACTAATATGGGCTGAGGATGCAAGTATTGTGGATATGCTAGCAACACCTGTTATCACAATATAAAAATAACAAAACTGCAAAACTGCAACCTGAGATGCTGAGATGTAATTTATTACCATATATAGTATTATTGACTGTGATCCCTTCTATATATGGAAACAAGACTTCCTCAGTATCTCAGTACCTCAGTATCTCAGTACCTTAGACTTTAGATCACTGATCCTTGAGATAAGAAAATCTAGTCAGTCTGGTTTATAACTTATAAGGCATCTATTAGATTACAAGTGGGAAAAATTAAAATTACTAAATGAAGCAAAATGATTGAAGTCAAACTGTTTATTACAGAGTTACTTGACTTGTAGTTGCACATAATCTTACCAGATACTAATAATAACATGACTACTTTCAGAATATAGTAAATCCAATTACTGCAAACAGAAAATTTTATTACAATATTTCCAAAAAGTTTTGTAGTACAGGCATGCATAGGAAATCATTTTCTTTTTGGTAAAGGAAGCAAATTTTACTCTGTAGTAAATTTGTAGTTGTCTCATAGCTATCTCTGTCTGTGTATAAGTGTTGCTCACCAACTTTTTATAAGGCATTCATGGATGTATTCTCTACTACTGCTTTTATTGATTTTATTATGTAAATTTTATTATTTTTATTTTATCACATGATGTGACTGTAAGGAGGTAAATTTTCATATATGGGCACTGATCTATCAAAATGGCAGTTATTGCATGATGGCAATCACTGAGAAATTTAGATGCAAAGATTTGGGGGTTTTTTGACAGCAATAACCCCTTCTCAGGATAACCCCAAATTGGCATGAGATGTATTGTAACAAATGATATGCACAAATATTTGGGGTTTGAATTTCGAAGTCTGGGGTCTGATGCATGGAATGGCCCTTGTATTACTCAACTTCAAACTGTTGTAGAGAAAGGTTTTACTAATGTACTTGAGGTAAAAATTATCAAGATATGTAGAGGGGACTGCTGAGAACATGTCTATGCAAAAAAAAAATTTGCATAACCATAATGATAACTGCCTTTTTGATAGATTAGTGCCCATATGGGTTGTTGCAAAAAGATTGGTACCTCAGATATTGCATCAATAAAAAAATTTTTTATTATGTAATTTTTTTTTATTTAATAAATATTATCAGTATATATTGGGAAAGATATGATATAAATATTACCTTAAATTACATGATCATCATCAGAACTACTATAAGCATCAAATTTGTTATCAATAAATCGTATGTTTTCATCAGACTCAAAATATTCCTTAGCATTTTTAAGGGCTCTTCTCCAAAGTCCTACAATAACTTTTGAAGAAATTTTTTCTTTAAATGCATTTAGTAGTGTATTTCTAACAGATAAAAGGTTTGTATGTGGGCATGCAACTTCACCCTACCAAATACCTTCAATAGGGTGTAGTTTGCAATGGTAGGGTGGGGTAAAATTGACTTCATGTTCATACTGTTCTGCAATTTTAACACAAGCAAATGGGACACCACTGTGATGCTATGCTATATAACAGTGACATATTCTCTCCTTTATTTCTCCCTATGTGTGCCTAAATAAAGACCTCGAAACCTCTCCTTTATTTCTGCATTCCTCTGATGCACAGCTGTGGAAATCGGTAGCAGAGGTACAAATGATTCAGGGTCAAGCAGTGCAAGTTGTACGAGAATTTATAGTACAGGGGCACAAGCACCACTGCAGCACCACTGCAGCAGTGCTGCAAAAGTCATAATTGAAATAGTTGCTAAGAATAGATCAATTAGTCTGCTCAAAAGATATATAAGTAGTGTAGATTTCAATTAGATAGAGGTCAGCCAATAAGCATCTAATTACTCTCGATTCCTTTATTGTAAATAAAAGAGTAGTTCTTTATACTCTGACATACATTGTTAATAATTCATTCTCTGGTAACTTATTGGTATAGCTGAGAAACTGCTAATTCATATATCGATGAAGAATAATCACCTCTTGTCCCGCGATTATTCGAGTGGCAAATTATGATAATTAATTGTTATGTAACTGCGCGTTATTATGATTTATACACCATTGTACCCCAGGCGGGAGACTATCAACTCTTTATCCCACAATAGTAACTGATAGACATACTCGAGTACAATTATTATATCTAGGATCAGCATCATTCTATGATGAAATAGTTTGTAAGTGGAAAGCCTTGAATTAACAAAGTCACTAACTGTACCCGAGATATTTAACGTGAATAGTCGGCACCACACTCCATTGAGACTAGTTAAATCCCAAGTGTCGATTACTTTCTGTTCTCCCGTGTAGTCGGCATGACACCACCCTCCCCCAACTGTACTTTCCCCTATGAGCAACACACTTGCATAGTGTGACCTTCTGATGATCCTCCTTTTTAGAGTTAGCCCCCAAAAAATAATTGTAAATGCTAATAATCATCAACTTTTAATTATCAGTTAATGGTGCACCACTCCGTTTTGTAGAGGAAATATCCATGGTAGGGTAAGATAATATTAGAAAAAAATGTTTATTCAAAGTCGTTTTAATATATATTTTTTTTGACCCACCTTGCTTTGGTCGCACAGTATTTGTCTTGGGTGAGGTACCAATCTTTTTGCAATGGCCCATATCTACTATTTATCAGTTTTACTGTGTCTTGTGATAGGGACTATAAGCAAATTGGGACTGTATAGAGGTAAATTAACATATTGTAAAAATTGAACCTGCATTTTTAAAGTTTGTTGCCTCAACTCAGCCTATAACATCTATTTGTGCAATGTAAACCTTTTCTTTTTCTAATGTAGACTTTTCCTTTTTATTATCTTTTGGCAATGATCAACACCAAAATGCCTTTTGATTTTAAAGTTACTAGCTACTAGTAGCTATTGCATTGGCATTATCATAAAGTTGTTTATTTAGAATCTGATGATATAAGTGGCAGTCAAGGTTTTCAGTAAAGACATATAGACTGACTTTTCTTTTAAAATTGATAGCACCCCAAACATGGACTTCAAAAAGGTGTTTTACCATAGGTTGGGCAGGCTTTTTTTCATGAGACCATGCCAACATCATATTGCAAAACATCTGGAGAGTTGTTTCATCCAAAAAAGACAACTTTCTTCCAGTTGTAAGGCTTGTGATCATGTGCTCTTAATAAGTGATTAAGTCTTTGCTTATAAGAAGAAAGAAGCTTTTCTTGGAAGAATTGAGATATAACCAAGATGAGAAAGCTCACAATGGATAATTCTATCACTACATCAAAAGTTTGATACTTTTCTTCCAAGATAGTCTTCATTTCAGTAGTCGTTGTATAATGGTTGCTTTTGATAATCATCCCAAGCTGGCATTGTTTTTCTGAAGTTAATTTTTTTGGGTGGCCAGATTTATGAATTTCGCATAGTTTGCCACTTTTCTTTAATAAACTGACATATCATTGACATGTACATAGTAGGATACCAGTTTTGCTTGAAATTTCTTTTGGAGTACAAATATTTTGCTGTCAAAGTAAGTTAACAATGGAATGGTTTGTTTTCACAGGGTTTGGAGACATTTTACAAAGCAAAATAAACAAAAGATGATAATAATGTTTACTGTTTATTTGTTTATCTTTTATTTTTGTAACCTTAATTATCCGATTTGCTAACAAAACTGGTCTATGTGTATTTGAATAATTCTAGACAATGCACCATTATTTTTGCTGGGGACTGTATATATAATCAGGGCAGTGTATAGAAAGGTGTTTTACACTTTGCCAATTCAAAGGCAAGCTATGCTAGAAGAGCCATCCATATGCACAGGACAATTATCAACTATCAGTAGTGACTTCTGGGATACATTATTATCCCACTTCAACCATTCATTCCACTTTTCCATAGTCATCCAAGCTTTTGTATTACTGGAGTACTGAACAGGCAATGTAGCTATGTTGACTTTTTTAAAACAAGGTTTAATTTTTTTCATTCCTGTTGCATTGCAGCAAAGTAAGATGGTAACTCGTTCTTTGTCCTTTGATGCAAGCATTTTGTTTGGAGCAAGTCGAAAGAAAAGTCCTGTCTTGTCTGCATTGTAAACATTTTCAATGTTAAACACAGCTATTATCTCTTGTAGATTTTTCCTTCCATTTTCTACTTGATCAAGAAGTACCTTTGTTTTCACCTGTGATGTATTTGCTACTGATATTATATCTTTCCTGAAATTTTTTCAACAATCCATTTGATGCTTCAAATTAGAAAGTTGTGCCATTTTTTTTAGTTTATTATAGATTTGACTGCTTTTACTTTCAATATGTCCTGGGAGATGGGAATATTCCAACTGTGTAAACTTTGAAACTACTTGTATAATGCCTCTTCTAATGAAGGAAATTGTGCTACCTGAATATGAGTCTTCTTCAGATCTGAATGTTTTATGCTTGCATGCAATTGTAAAAAATTATCTTTCTTTTGAAGAATGCTACTTATAGTTGAACAGTCTACACCAAACCAGTTGCTAGTTTTTCATTGCATAGGTTTACTATTACATCAGTTTCTTTTCTCTTAATGATGTTTACTTTATCCTCAAGTGATAAATTCTTCCTTTCTTTGTCTATCTGTGTTACTGGTGTAAATAGCCGATTTTGCTATTTACTACGGAATTGTTTAATTGGTCAAAAATTCACTCCCATGTACTTTAGAGTTGGTGAAACGCATGTATTCTGCGGCGCTTTTGTATAACTTAGATTCGAACACCAACTTGATCACTTGAT